GCATAAAAAACTTATTTTACTTTGTTTTAGTATTTTCGGAATGCAAGAGCAAACTTGTGTTTGCCATTGACAAGAATAGAAGTTGATCTGACCGATACTTGCAAGGCATCGGAGTTTCCTATTTCAGAGTACATAAATAAGCGAAACCCTTTTCCTTTATTTACTGATTTTAAAGGATATTTTGAAAACCTTTCGTATCTTTGGTTCCGCGAAAGTACCTACTTGAACCTGTTCGATTGTGTTTGGAACGGCAATAAAGCAGGTAAAATATATTCATAAACATGAACACATTTAGTTATTAATATAAATTTTGCTTGACCTTGAATATATAGATAAGTACATGTGTGTAGTTCTATTTATGAAAATATGTTTTTTTTTTTATTCTGTTTATTTTTCTCCCATGTGTCCTGCTATGAATTACTTTCCACTATCCTAAAATCCCACAATAATGATCATGGTCCTGATAATATGCCAATAAAACTAATAAAATCCAGCCTTCCTGTACTTATTCCCGTGCTTTACCATATGTACAAATTTTCATTGCAAAACTCCATATTCTCATCTCCCTGGAAAACTGCTCTAGTCCGACCTTTGAATAAAATTTCCAACCCCACCTCATTGAACGACTTCCGTCCTATTTCTCTCCTATCCAACCTGTCAAAGCCTTTAGAACTCATGGTCCAAAATCAACTCTCCTACTTCCTAGAGGAACGTTCCCTCATCAACCCATTCCAATCTTGCTTTCGACCTGGTTATGCAACGCAATCCGCTCTCCTTAAAATAATCTACGACCTCCAAAAATCACATTGAACACCAAAACCTTACTATCCTCATCCTTCCGTAACATCCTCCTTACTAAATTGCACAATTCTCTTCTATCCTACAGAGCCCTGCGTTGGTTCAAATCCTTCCTTTCAAATTGGTGCCAGTATGTAGTCGTCCCAGGTCAACCTCCATCTAAAACCCTTCCCCTCTCCTGTGGTGTACCTCAAGGTTCCTCTCTATCTCCCACTTGGTTTGCTATTTATATTAATGACCTTCCCCTCCTCATCCATCACTCCCAATACCATATCTATGCAGATGATTTCCAAATATACCTGTCCTTCCCGCCCTCCGATCTATTATCAGCCACAGAAAAACTTCAAACTGCTCCTAATATTCCAACTCTGTTCCTGCATGATAATCCCATTAAATTTTATCCCACCATCAAAAATCTCGGAATAACCAGTTTGATCAAATGCTTTCCTGGAAAATCATGTATCCAATATCCCCCGCCGTACCTTTAAACGTATAAATTATTTATGTCACCTATTTCCCCTTGAAAGCAGTAGGCTCCTAGCTCCTTCAATTTAACTCTTCTGTTCGTTCCCGCAATACGCGTTCCCGGTCTTCAGATTTATACACAAGGGCCCACCGAATCGTTGCTTTCGACAGATCGTTCATTATCCGATTCTCATCCCTATGGAACTCTATCCCTTCCCACATCCGTCAATCCAATACCCTTCATATCTTTAAATCCTGCTCGTTCAGTCATTTCTTATCCAGCCAGTCCTCATAAAATTGTAAATAGATACTACTGTAAATATGTATATAGATTATTTTAGAGTTCATCATTTTTTTTTACTTCGTTTTTTTTTTCTGCTTTTTTTATTAACTTATTAAAATTAGAATGTAACTCATAATTTTTTTTATTATGACTGTTTAATTATTCTGTATTGTTGTTTATATATCTCTGAGGCTCTCTAGCCCACATTTCTGTTTTTCTCTATTATAAAGGGACTCGTCCCAGAATAAATAAAGTATTATTATTTAAAAAAAAAATACTTTTTTGTTGAATAATTTCGTTTTTTATATGAAAAGTATAAAAACACAATGTCACCTTGTCGATGGTTGGGATTAGTCTTGCTAGTCTCAAATCTACCAATTATCTATGGAGGTTTAGAGCTGTCATACGGGTGACAGGTACGCCAGTATTAACAAGCACGTACGAATCAATGAAAAGATTACTGCAATTTAGTTTGCAAACAAAATAAATTATCATAAATAAATGTGGTTATATCGGAGAGAGTACACGATTTTAAGACTTTTTATGATGATTGATTTGTGTTTTCAACTCTCTTATAGGAGTCAAAAAAGTCTGAAAATAATGCCTCTGCTTCCTAAGAATATAAAGTAAAGGAAAAGACTCTAGTTTACATTGTGTTAATATTTGAGTGGTTTTATTTTATTTCTTGTAAAAATATGTAGCGAAGTTTATTGGTAATTTGAAAGAGTTTTCACCACTTTCTAACACTCATTAAAAACTATTAGAATCAATAATTTGTGCAATTTAATAATGCATTCATCAACGAGAAGCACCCCTAACAACATAATATGCTTTAAAGAAGTTTTCATTCAATATAAATTTTAACCGAAATTATGTACTTTTTAACGAGATGTTATTTGAAATTACTATTATATTATATACACCATGATATTGCAAGTATATGAAAAAAAAATGACAATAAACAAATCTGACCTATTAATACCACTACTGAATTGAATAATCGATATAATAAATATGAACGTGATTGAACGTTGGATTTGAGTATAATATTTAAAACATGACGATCTCAAGAAAAATTTTTTTAAAAGAGGAGTAAAAATCAAGTTCCAAAAATAAAGATATCAAGTTATTTAAAACAAAAGTTTGTTACAATGTAATGCTCACTCCACATTTCTTTGTCTATGGCCTGTTTCATACTTCGGAAGGCAATACATTTTCAAGAAGAATCTCAACTTACTACTTTTGTCTACACTTGCTCAATTGAATGTATGTGTAAAACTTCTATTCCTAGAAAAAATCGTGGTTAATACTTTGGTTTGACATACAAAAAATGGTTGACAAATGGATTGTATATAGACGGTATTGTGACGATCTAAGTTGATACCAAAACACTGACAAGAAACTGAACGAAGTACTTCAATCGACTCATGGTTTAATATCAACCCAAAAAGTTAGTGTTGGTTTAGCACTTACATCCTTGTTCTAGAAGTAATAACATGCTTCCATAACATGCCATGTTATTTTTTAGAGTACTGAATGTAAACCTTTAGGTAATGGACTATTAGTTAAGTAATAAAACATGCTATTAATATCATAATAAGGTGTTTATCATATCATATTATATATGTTTTTTTTCAGGAATATCTTTGGAATATTATACACACCTGTACAATTCCATGTTTCATCCTGGAAAGTATGGTAAGATTAAATCCATTTAAAACAAAAGATACTCTACGTATCTAGTTATATTATTAATATAACATTTTATTTTTTTTATTTTTACCCTTTCTGGCCTATTAAGCAGTACGGGTGGTTGCAGCAGTGAGATGTTACTCATGTGAAGTAATAACTCCCCGCTGCAAGGAAGTCAATCACTCGGAAGATATAATACAAGTCATTTTTGATATTGGCTTGAAACAAATTATGCATTTTGTACGCATTTAGGTTCACGCTCTTCTGTGGGCACCATTTCGAAACGCTCCTGTTTTGAGCTGGCAGATTATTTATTATTTGTTAAAATCATTTCAAGAGGTCTATCGAGCGGCTAGACTAAGCGAACTTCTGTTAAAAAAAATTAAACTATTTTAAAGTATTTATTTTATCATCAACCATCTATACTACAGATAGCCCACTTTTAAAAATCTTCCTCGTTTAATAAGCTTTAAGTTCATATTAATTAAATTGATCTTCATTAGGCAAAGACTTGAGATTCACTTTTTATTCTATCATCTAAAAACACCGAGCGCGAAACTGACTACAATTATTTGTTGAAAAGCTTTTATTTCTTGTTTCTCCATAACCTGAGGTGTATTATAATAAAAATAACTGTCCACTTTTTATTTATAAAAATATTAAAAACAATGATTTTTCATATATTTTTTATGTAACTATGTTTTTCTCCCCGTACTCTACCATAGGCATTTATCCGTATCTGTAAGTGACAAACATAATTTTTCTAGTCCGAAAATTTACGTTTAAAATTAAGAAACTTGATAATTGCCATTATTTTTATGAAAACGTAAATAATAGGATCAGGAAAATGTAAATTGTCACTTATATTATTGTCACTTATAAGTTCATATAATAGAGATATGAGTGAAAAACAGAATTTCATATCCACTTAAGGTGACAAATCATTAAATATTTTATTTATAAATAAAAAGTGTATTATTTTTGTTATAATACATCCCAGGACATGGAAAAACGAAAAATAAAAGGTTTGTTGCCATTCTTGCTGACAACACGGGCACTTTTAGGTGACAAGATAAAAAGTCACATACTTTTTTTTTTTACATAACTTGAGGTGAATCTCAAGTTTTTGTCTAATGAACCTCAATTTAATTTATATGAACTTCAAGCTTATTAAACGAGTTAGTTTTTCTAAAAGTGAAGTATCTTTAGCATAGTTGTAAAAAGATTGTTGTCTGTTGTATAGATGATGAAAAAAAAATTGAGTATAATTAATTTTTTTTTTTAAACGGTATTTGAAATGGTTTTAACGAAATCTATATTCATTTGAAGTAAATTTTATCTACTTTACAGTGAATCAATTGTTAATTACTTAAACTAAATATTTCTTTAGCTATTGCTTTCTATTCAACAAAAAATCTGACAATTAAAAAAAACATAAAACTTGAATTTCCTACTTTTCTGCTGAAAATTAGACCATTGTTTATATAAACTTTTTCTAGCTCTTGAGATCTGCTATGACACCTATAAAAATTTTCCCCTTCTTACCGAACACCCTGTTTATCGTTTAGATTTTATTCCATTTTTCAAGGATATGATTTTTTTTTACAAATTTTTCTTTTTAATACTGAAACAAAAAAACTAATTATGATTATATTTTTTCGTTAATTACAACGGAATTCTATCAGGACCTTTTATCTTTCGCTAGACATCATTTAATATTATTAATAAATTCATCCAAAAAGAGCTAATTATGTAATCAGATTTTATTTTGCCGTTATAGAAAATATTGATAAATGCAAACTTGGGATGCTCATGTGCCAAAACTGCGTCAAACGTACAAGAAAAAAGAAACTTTGTGACTGGATAAAAGATAAAATAACGACACCAAAATCGACAGGATTACATACTCTAGAAGGACATAAGGAGCCGTATGTCGATCATTACATTAAAATTGACTCTAACACGGAGTTCATTGAAGACATTATTTTAAAAGAACGTATCTCATCATTAGAAAAAAACGATGAAGAAATTAAAAAACGTATGGAAGTATTATGTTTTACCAAAAGAAGATTTGAAATTTACGGCAGTCGAAGAGACAAGATAATAAACGTGAGTTTTCAACCATTAAAAAAAAGTTTTTAAGAAAAGTAATAACCTATTTTAGATTTGCTAATGACTAGGTATTACTATAAATATTTAAATTAAATTTCACAATAAGTTTCTAAACTTTTTGTTACTTATTACTTCAGATAGAAATATGCTTAATTTAAATAAAATCTTTTATTTTCTAATATATGAAACTAACTCATCAATGTGTTTTTATTATATATTAATTGCAAGTGGTATTTTCATTTTCTAACGCATATTCTGGTTGGTGTTCAATTCAAATAACAAAATTATTTGTAAAGAATATATCGATTTTCATTCAGGCAGGCAGTACAACTGCTTCCCGTTGAAATTAATACTTTGAAAATTAAAGATACTGTGTTTATTTAGATACCGTAAGATAAGGTAACTTTGGGACTGGGTGGGTAACTTAGATACAATGGGTAAAATTTAGTTTGTGGTGATTCCGTGGTGGGTACACTGTGTTGGTTCACTCTATAAAAAGGTGCTTTGTGTAGGCATGTACTGCGCTATTACCTTGCGCCAATCGGAGAACCCTAGTTCACTACACTCATTGTGCAGTTAGGTTTTATTTATTTCCATTGCTTTTTCAAAATTCTTGTTTTCATGAAATTTTCGCTTGTGCCACAAGAGTATTTTGCCGCAAGCTGGTACCACATTACATGCGCTGTCCACGCTCACTGAACCAACACAGAATCCATCACGAAATCATAACAAACTAAATTTTACAAAGTTACACACCTAGTCCCAAAGTTACCCCGTCTTACGGCAGTATTGTTTGAAATTAAACGACCATCTACTAAATTAAGTTTTACAGCCCCAGAATGCTGGTAAGATCTCATGTCACAAAGTTTTGCGAAAAATGCCTATGATGTCATGGGATGCCTTTAACAATGTGATCTTTCCATGTTCCATATTGATATACAACATAGCAGACTGTGAGAAAGAAAGAGTAGAAGCTCGATATGTTGTGAATAGTGAGTTTTTAATATCATTCAATATTTTTTAATAAGATAAATAATAATTTATACCTAAAAAAAATTGGTGTGGTGTGCCCATCACATATCTTCTTCTTACTAACCTATTTTGAATAGAAACAGCAGTAATATACAGGCACGTGGAATTAAAAAGTATTAAATTTACACCATATATATATTCTAAACAATTAATTACCAGATGTTTTAATGAACGTAAAGTAGTGAAATTTATGACTTTTCTTTACTTTCCATTACTTTATACGACAGTATATAATGTTTTTTACATCATTCTTCGATTTTTGGAATGAAAAATTGACTTTAATTAAAAAATATATATATATTTTGTTTTGGGCTCACACTACTGTATTCTGATTAATATATAGTCCTTATACCCTCGAATCACTTCTAACTTCTTGATAACATCATTCCTTAATATATTCAAATTATTTATGACAGTCTCTTTTATTTTAATTATTTTATTTTGCATGTTAAAATTGAAGAAGATTCGGTGTCTAGCCAGCACCCATCTCTTCAATCCTTACTATTTCTATTTTAAAAATGTATAATTTGAACTGTGTTCTTCTGGTTTCATTATATATAAGATCTTGGGAAACTAGAATACTTCTTTATAAATAACAACTTATTAGTAATATGGTGACCGGTTATGAGATTTTACAATTCCATAAGATATTTGTATAATAAAACAAGACGAAGAACATTGTTCAAAACAGGGTTTGAAATTGATAATTAAAAAAATAAAAATAAAATTTGATCAACATTTTTAAATATCATTTGATGATATTTATTAATAGCGTTTTTTATTTTCGATCATAAGCTATAAAATAAAAATCATATCCTGATGATTATTTTTGAACAATATTTTTACACATTAATTGATAATACAAATTCTTGAGTAATACATTTTTAAATCAGAATTTAACCAAGTATTACTCCAGAATAATTTTTCAGAATCAGAATATTTTTTTTGTAATTTTGGTGATATATTTTGAGTCTGGAGTCGTATGTGAAGAATATTGTTTTAAAAAATTATCAACAGGACATCTTTATTCCCGAAATTCATTTGTGATTTTGGCCAGGGCCGGATATAGGGTGGAGTAACCGGAGCAATTGCCAACAATCAAATATAATAATTATTACATGATTTTGTTGAAAAATTAGTTATCGATTTTAAATTATGGTTCAAACTAGAGATGGGCAAAATTGTACTCTGAGTAAAAAGTACAATTACACAGTAATTTACTCAAATACTCGCCCGGTTCGAGTATCGAGTACTTCAATCACTACTCGACCTCATGATTGACGAGTACAAAAAGTAATCAGCTGTCCTCGTGAGTACTTTCTATTTTCAAATCTACTCAGCAATATTTTACTCTGAGTACTTTTCAAAGTAATCGAGTATTTCATTATAAAAATTACGGGAGTAGAATATTTAATATTTCTTCCATGTTTAAGTCCATTATTATCTTATGGGGGGTATAGTTTTTTAAAATAGTATAGATATTAATGTAAATCGAAAAAATAAAGAATTATTAAAATATTTTGGATTTAATCAACTTTGGGGACCATTTTTTATTTTTTTTTACACCACTTGACTTTTATAATAATGCTGTCGGATTTGAGATAGTGCCCCCGGGCCCCAACTTCTTTTAAGTTTTTGAATTAAATCGATATCAGGGTCGATTAGTATGTTTCGGGGGGCGCTTTTTATGAAAATGGTATCGAATTTGAGATTGGGCCCCCCGGGCCTCGACTTTTTTTATCTTTTTGGATTAAATCGATATCAGGGTCGACTATTAGGTTTTGGGGGACGCTTTTTATGAAAATGATATCGAATTTGAGATTGGGCCCCCCGGGCCTCGACTTTTTTTAACTTTTTGAATTAAATCGATATCAGGGTCGACTATTATGTTTTGGGGGGCGCTTTTTATGAAAATGATATCGAATTTGAGATTGGGCCCCCGGGCCCCGACTTTTTTTAACTTTTTGGATTAAATCGATATCAGGGTCGACTATTATGTTTTGGGGGCGCTTTTTATGAAAATGATATCGAATTTGAGATTGGGCCCCCCGGGCCTCGACTTTTTTTTAACTTTTTGGATTAAATCGATATCAGGGTCGACTATTATGTTTTGGGGGCGCTTTTTATGAAAATGATATCGAATTTGGGATTGGGCCCCCGGGCCTCGACTTTTTTTATCTTTTTGGATTAAATCGATATCAGGGTCGACTCTTATGTTTTGGGGGGCGCTTTTTATGAAAATGATATCGAATTTGAGATTAGGCCCCCCGGGCCTCGACTTTTTTTAACTTTTTGGATTAAATCGATATCAGGGTCGACTATTATGTTTTGGGGGGCGCTTTTTATGAAAATGATATCAGATTACGAATCACTTCATAAATTTGAGATTGGGCCCCCGGGCCCCGACTTTTTTTAACTTTTTGGATTAAATCGATATCAGGGTCGATTAGTATGTTTTGGGGGCGCTTTTTATGAAAATGATATCGAATTTGGGATTGGGCCCCCCGGGCCTCGACTTTTTTTATCTTTTTGGATTAAATCGATATCAGGGTCGACTATTAGGTTTTGGGGGGCGCTTTTTATGAAAATGATATCGAATTTGAGATTGAGCCCCCCGAGCCCCGACTTTTTTTAACTTTATGAATTAAATCGATATCAGGGTCGACTATTATCTTTTGGGGGGCGCTTTTTATGAAAATGATATCAGATTACGAATCACTCTCATAAATTTGAGATTGGGCCCCCCGGGCCCCGACTTTTTTTAACTTTTTGGATTAAATCGATATCAGGGTCGATTAGTATGTTTTGGGGGGCGCTTTTTATGAAAATGATATCGAATTTGGGAATAGGCCCCCCGGGCATCGACTTTTTTTATCTTTTTGGATTAAATCGATATCAGGGTCGACTATTATCTTTTGGGGGCGCTTTTTATGAAAATGATATCGAATTTGAGATTGGGCCCCCCGGGCCTCGACTTTTTTTATCTTTTTGGATTAAATCGATATCAGGGTCGACTATTAGGTTTTGGGGGGCGCTTTTTATGAAAATGATATCGAATTTGAGATTGGGCCCCCCGGGCCTCGACTTTTTTTATCTTTTTGGATTAAATCAATATCAGGGTCGACTATTATCTTTTGGGGGCGCTTTTTATGAAAATGATATCGAATTTGGGAATAGGCCCCCCGGGCCTCGACTTTTTTAACTTTTTGAATTAAATCGATATCAGGGTCGACTATTATGTTTTGGGGGACGCTTTTTATGAAAATGATATCGAATTTGGGATTGGGCCCCCCGGGCCTCGACTTTTTTTAACTTTTTGGATTAAATCGATATCAGGGTCGACTATTATGTTTTGGGGGGCGCTTTTTATGAAAATGATATCGAATTTGAGATTGAGCCCCCCGGGCCCCGACTTTTTTTAACTTTATGAATTAAATCGATATCAGGGTCGACTATTATCTTTTGGGGGGCGCTTTTTATGAAAATGATATCAGATTACGAATCACTCTCATAAATATTGAGATTGGGCCCCCCGGGCCCCGACTTTTTTTAACTTTTTGGATTAAATCGATATCAGGGTCGATTAGTATGTTTTGGGGGCGCTTTTTATGAAAATGATATCGAATTTGGGAATAGGCCCCCCGGGCATCGACTTTTTTTATCTTTTTGGATTAAATCGATATCAGGGTCGACTATTAGGTTTTGGGGGGCGCTTTTTATGAAAATGGTATCGAATTTGGGATTGGGCCCCCCCGGGCCCCGACTTTTTTTATCTTTTTGGATTAAATCGATATCAGGGTCGACTATTATCTTTTGGGGGGCGCTTTTTATGAAAATGATATCGATTCGAATCACTTCATAATTTGAGATTGGGCCCCCCGGGCCCCGACTTTTTTTAACTTTTTGGATTAAATCGATATCAGGGTCGATTAGTATGTTTTGGGGGTCGCTTTTTATGAAAATGATATCGAATTTGGGAATAGGCCCCCCGGGCATCGACTTTTTTTATCTTTTTGGATTAAATCGATATCAGGGTCGACTATTATGTTTTGGGGGGCGCTTTTTATGAAAATGATATCGAATTTGGGATTAGGCCCCCCGGGCCCCGACTTTTTTAAACTTTTTGAATTAAATCGATATCAGGGTCGACTATTATGTTTTGGGGGCGCTTTTTATGAAAATGATATCGAATTTGGAGATTGGGCCCCCCGGGCCCCGACTTTTTTTAACTTTTTGGATTAAATCGATATCAGGGTCGACTATTATGTTTTGGGGGGCGCTTTTTATGAAAATGATATCGAATTTGAGATTGAGGCCCCCCGGGCCCCGACTTTTTTTAACTTTTTGAATTAAATCGATATCAGGGTCGACTATTATGTTTTGGGGGGCGCTTTTTATGAAAATGATATCGAATTTGGGATTGGGCCCCCCGGGCCCCGACTTTTTTTAACTTTTTGGATTAAATCGATATCAGGGTCGACTATTATGTTTTGGGGGCGCTTTTTATGAAAATGATATCGAATTTGGGATTGGGCCCCCCGGGCCCCGACTTTTTTTAACTTTTTGGATTAAATCGATATCAGGGTCGACTATTATGTTTTGGGGGGCGCTTTTTATGAAAATGATATCGAATTTGGGAATGAGGCCCCCCGGGCCTCGACTTTTTTTATCTTTTTGGATTAAATCGATATCAGGGTCGACTATTATCTTTTGGGGGGCGCTTTTTATGAAAATGATATCAGATTACGAATCACTTCATAAATTTGAGATTGGGCCCCCGGGCCCCGACTTTTTTTAACTTTTTGGATTAAATCGATATCAGGGTCGGTTAGTATGTTTTGGAGGCGCTTTTTATGAAATTGATATCGAATTCGGGAATAGGCCCCCCGGGCATCGACTTTTTTTATCTTTTTGGATTAAATCGATATCAGGGTCGACTATTAGGTTTTGGGGGGCGCTTTTTATGAAAATGATATCGAATTTGGGATTAGG